AAAGACGTCTTTCTTAGGTCCGTGTCCACTGGAATGGTGGGGGTATTTATGGCTTACTTTGCTAAAATAAGGATAAAATATTGTTGGAGACAGTCCATGCTTTATTTTATGCATAAACTCTACGACTAGGTAAATGTTGATTTTGAACTCATTTAATGCATTAAGTTTACGTAGAAATGGCTCACAATGCACAGCTCTTAGTGCTTCATATACGATTCTGCATGTTTTTGTTTATAATAACTTTTTTTTTTTTAAACTTGTTGGTAGTAGTTGGTGCATGGCCATACAATACTAGTGCGAGAGTTAAATAACTATTTAGAAAGGAAAAATATAAACTTTTAAAAAGCCTTATATCTAAAAATGATTTTGCGCAATACATCATTGCAATATTTATTGAACGTTTTTTACAAGAGGGCTGCTATGATTCCTCAATAATAAATTTTTACAAGAGTGCTACTACGATTCCTCCATCATAAATTTTCGTCTAAAATAACACCCTAAAAGTTTACAGATATTTGTCTAGTAATATTTATGTAATTGATTTTAAGATTGAATAATTTTAAAGGAAGATCTCCTGTTTTAGTTGGTTAGTGAAATAGAGAGTCTATTACAAATAAACTATTCGTTTACTTTTTTTACTTCTTCATTAACTACTTTAAATAGGGTTTTAATATCCCTATGGGAATAAAAAAGGTTGGAGTCATCCGCAAAAAAAAAAAAAAATTAAGTTTGAGGTAAGAAATAGGTCATTTATAAAAAGAAAAAACAGTAACGGTCCTTAAATTGAGCTTTAAGGAACTCCACATTTCTTATACTTTTTGTCGTTTTAACATTTTCTTTACTATTTGTAAATCTTTATTAAAATCATTGTTTTGCGCATCATTCTGAATAATGATGTTGATAAAGAAATTTCAAATGTTAATGAATATTTTTGAACTTTAAACATTTTTAATATACTAAAATTATTGCCAAAATCAGTATCTTACTTTTTAGACGTCTTTAACGTGTTATTGTTTAGAAATTCAACAGCTTTGTTTTTGCATGCAACCAGCTTTTAAGATTTTTTTCATTAGCAGCTTTTGTTTATGGCTTAATTTAAATTCTTTATCTTTGGTACTCTTTAATAAGCTTATAGTATGCTGTGTTTTGATGGTATCCACTTGAAGAACTCTTTTAGTTTTTTTTTTTTTTAATTTAATTATATTTTTCTTTTTGCTTTTTTTTTTTTTCTTATATTATCAGTATTAGTTTGTTTTTTTGGTTTTATGGTTTTTTAGACATTAAACATGCATAAAAATCAAAATTTACACAATATTTTGATATTTCTTATTTGAACATTCAAATTATATTTGAAAAAGAATATATATTTCTTTTCCTTTTGAAAGTAATTTAACTAAAGAATACATAAAACATAAGACAATATTGAATAATTTAAGAAAAAAACGATTACAAAGAGAAAATGAAACAATAGTGTAAATATTTATTATTCTTAAAGAAGTGTTATATTTTTTATAGTTTTTTAACTTATAATTTTTTGTGAAAGAAAATAAACGTTTAAGGCTTGTGATTTAACTGCTTTTTTGCATTTAAAATATTCAACTTAATAAATAATTTAACTTAATAATACTTTTTCTATAAAACGAAATGCTTAAGACAGCCTATATGCATGAAAGAGATACAAAAAATGGAAAATAATGGAAAAAAGATTGATGGTAAACGAACACCGGCGTTTTGTGTAGACCTTCAAAACGCTGGTATTTTTTAAGAGACTAACACTCTATGGGCTTTCATTGCTCAGTCTAATTGAAGCAAGACAGATTTCTTGCAATGAACAAAAAAAAAAAAGGAAATAAAAAAAAGGAAAAACAGCGTTTTGAAGCCTTGAAATAAAAAATACTATATATATAATTTTTAATTTATTAATTTTTCTGACTAGATTTGATCAACTTTATCAATGGAATCAGTATCAACTTTATCAGAATAAACTTTATCAAGAATCAAAATCAGTTTGACCACTTCTTTTTTTAAACTTCATACGCATTACAGTTAACATTGACTGCAAGCTGGTCATTAATGAATTAAGGAAAATCATAAATTATTTACTTATTATTATTATTATTATTATTATTATTATTACTATTATTATTATTATTATTATTATTATTATTATTATTATTATTATTATTATTTTTGTTGTTGTTATGATCACTTATCCCATGAAGCACTATTGATTTTTCAATCCTGCGCTTAATATAACTAAATGCAACCATAAGCATTTGCAGCAAAAAGAAATTATCAAAACTAGAATAGTTTACAGTTTATTTTTTTTAGCTATGATTTTCATTGAGGATTGCTATTGACTGTCGCTTATTCTCTTTTCTGTTTATCAATTTGAAAAGATGCCACTTAAGGTAGGAGTATCCTTTTTACATCTTGAAGGTAAACAAAAATGTTTAATTGTAATTAGCGTCTGATTAAAACACCGCATTATTCATTCAGTTTTAAATTATTTTTTTTTTTAAATTTGTTTGAAGACTCATTTAAGATGCCCCAAGAATAGTGGTCTCGTCACAGACCATAAGGTATTTTTGGTACAAAATATGCCTTGTGCTCGCTTTGAATCCTTTGAATCTCTAGCTTATAAAGCCAGTGCTCTAAGCAATGCGGCACGGTCGCTTTTGAAAAGTTTCATATCACAGACATTTATCTATATTTTGACAATTTGACCTGGTATTTTATGTGGTTTACTATGGGTACTTGTTTGTTTGCACTTGTTAATTCAAAATTATCTTGTGAATGAAATATTATTTCATAGCGAGAGATAGATTTGAAGCTTATTTTTCTAGTGATTTTATAGTAATAGAAATAGATATAGAGAAATAATAAATAAAGTGTCTTTGTGCAAAAAAAAAAGCAATTAATTTTTCCTTTTCAGTCAAAATGTTTAAAAGACCTAAAGGCCTTGTCAAAGAGCACCGTGGAACAGCAGTTATTTAAATATTTTCTGCTGCCTTCCTCACCGATGTCTCGTACGGTAGTAACGAGAATTAAACTACGAACTTTTCGATTCTGAGGTCAACTCTATAACAACTGTTTATATTTAAATCAAAGTTAATTTATTCTTAAGTGTTTTAATTTAGGCAAGTTTACCTAGAGGCAAGTTTATAGGGAGGTGTATTTGTGCCTGCGTGCGCGCGTGTGTGTGTTACTTTTAAGTTATAGTCGGTTTTTTGAGGAACAGCGTCGGCTAGTCGGGTATTTGACATATTTCAGTAGGGTGAATTTTAGTTAAAAAATTTATATGTATATATATATATATATATATATATATATATATATATATATATATATACATATATATATATACATATATATATATATACATATATATATATATATATATATATATATATATATATATATATATATATATATATATATACATATATATATATACATATATATATATATACATATATATATATATATATATATATATATATATATATATATATATATATATATATATATATATGTATATATATATATATATATATATATATATATACATATATATATATATATATATGTATATATATATATATATATATATATATATATATGTATATATATATATATATATATATATATATATATATATATATATATATATATATATATATATATACATGTATGTATGTATATAAATATTTAACGAACTGCTCACAATCTTAGCGCATAGAATTTTGCAAAAGAAATTTTTAAAATATGCATTTTTTTAAAAAATTCTCCAAATAACTGCTCTATGTAATACCTTCTGATTGATTTCTAACAGCCATCAAATCATAGAGAAGGTGCGAATACTAAAGAGTTGACTGACTTTAAAATTTTTTTTTTTAGTTAGGCATTTGTTTTATTTGTGACAAAGGTTAATTGAAATTGATTTTATTTTCTATCTCAACTTCAGCTATTATAATTGCGGTTACTTCTTTTGACAATAACTTTATCTTCAACAACAATAAAAAATTAGACAAAAGAGCAGATGTTACAAAGCGTTTACTTTAGTTGCTAAGTGTAACTGACACATGGGTAATATCAATTAATTTAAGTGACGAATCAAGAAATTGAAGAGTATATTATTTTCAAATATTTAACACAAATAATAAAGTATTAAAAAACTGTAAAGTTTATTTCTAAGTCGTTATTTTCTATACGAATAATTTGAAAATATTTTTATAAATAAGAAAAGTTGAAAAAAAAAATAATAATAATAATAAAAATAAAACTGTAAATGATCTCAATAATATCAAAATCTAAATGTTTTTATTAAACAAATTTAAATAGCCTAAAAAAACTAGCATTTAGAAAAAAAAAAAAAAAAAAAAAAAAAACTCATATTTTTAAAATCGGTTTAAATAGTGATATAAGTTTCATAGAGCTGTCAACATGCGCAATCGACCGATAACAAAAGCGACAAGGCCTTTTCAAAGTTAAACTGCATTTATAAAACGAAACACTTGACAACTTCAAGTTCTTTATTAACATTAATCACAAAAGTGAAAAGACAGGTGTTTTGAGTGTGTGTTGATTTATTTTATGTATTTGTTTTTTACCCATTTATAATATCTCAGATTCAATACATGACAAAAGAACTTTTTCGCTTTGCTAAACAATGAATCAAATTTTTCATTGTTAGTATGATTTTCTATGGATTTGATTGGTTAAAGCTCTATAAATGTAAAAAAACATGTCCAGAAAAATTTATTCACTTGACCATTAAATTTAAACTCAGAATTAAATGCAATATTTATAAAATAAATTACCAAACAAAAAACAAATTAAAACTATTACAATTTTTTTAATGTTTAACGTAACAATAAATAAATAAAGAAATTGAAAAAAAAATAACATAAAAACATCACTATTTGCTGTTCTATCTTCTGAGTCGGCAAAATAAACTTTTTTTTCAAGTCAGTAAATTCAAACCTTTCAAATAATCGTATGAATGATAAATTCGATTGACACGCCGATGACACAATGACTATGTCATTATTTTTAGATACGGTTTTCAGAAGAAAATGCAGTGAATAGAGAAAAAAGAAAAAAGAACATTCTTTTCGAACTTTAAAAAAAGGTTTCGCTTCTATAAATTTACGCCACATAACTGTGTTGACACTTGATACTGCTGAAGGTAAGCGATTATTGACGCGTGCAAACTCGAAACTCGAAGAAAAACATTTTTTTCTTCTTCATTATTTTGTGTCTAATTTTTTCGTTAAAAAGGAAGTTTTTTATTTTACACGTTGTGTTGAAAATTAATTTGTTTCTTTGAACCTTAACTTTAATTTTTTAGTAAGTTTTGATTTGCTTTGCTTTTATATTTTTCGCCTCAAGTATAATTCACAACGTGATAATTATATTCATTGGACTGGAACGTTATTTTCTTGACGTTTCTTGTCAAAATCAGTTTCTTTCACAAATTCGTTTATTATTCATGTTGTCGCTTTATTTATACGCAGATTGAGAAAAACTCTAATTAGAACAAACTTTTGCTTTTTCGACACATTCAAACTTTTGTCCGCTTGATGCAGAAAATAAAATGACTTCAGTTGAAACAGCTTTTGTGGAATTACCTTTTAAAGACGCAATACATCATTATGATAAGAATGTTCTCGGTAAAAATGTTGCTATAAATAAAAAAGTCGAATATGCAAAAAAAAGAAGCTGTAGGAAACGCAACAGAAGCGACATGTCACCCGAAGAATTAAAAAGATTGCGCGAAAGAGAAAGAAAGGCGCAACAGAGCAGAAGAGACAGAATCCGTGCTCAAAAAGTGAGTTGCTCTTTATTTTTCGTTATGTCACTGATTTTTTAAATATACTTTTATCATAAAATCAAAACTGATTTTTTTATCCTTCATTGTATTTAAAAGGTTTCACTGAAAACTTGTTATTCATGATAATGCTTATCTGTCATTCATCTTTGCTAGAGGCAGATGTATTCGTTCATCTTGTTAGTGATTGAACTTATACTGCTTTTTATTGTATTTTTCTCACCATGTGTTTTGAAAAGATTGACAAAACAAGAAATTTTCTTTTATGAAAAGACAGCTGCATTGAAATTGCTCGATATCATTTCTTTATGTTTCTTTCACTTGCGTTATTATTGATTTAGACGTTTGTATTATTGACATATTAGAAAGAGAGAAAAAAAGCGTTTTGTAGCGCTTTAGTTAGTTTGATTTTTTATTCCAACATTTATTAGTTTTTGTTTCTATTCCTTTATTAATATCTTTTTTTAAAAATGCACATAGCAGCTCTAGTTTTTTCTTGTGCACTTTGCTTTGCATTAACATATTTTGCGACTTTTTTTTATGGTGTTTTCTACACTTAGCGTTTGGTGAAAAAAATGAAACTTCGTTGCGCTCAAGTTAATGTGCCGAAAGAGTTTTTTGTTTTTTGGTTATGCGGTTCGGTCGAGTAATAATGCTGCATGGTCTTTACCTTAGGTGACAGCTCTCCGCAGGATCTTATGAAGTCTTTGGGTATTTTTTTTTTAAAGCAGCTGTTCAGAATTGCCAAGAAAATTAATAATATAAAAGTTAAACATTTGAATTTTTCCAAATTTTTTATATTCAATTCAGCAACACTACAAGGAAAAAAATTTTAAAATGAAAAATAAAAAAATTAAAATTTTGTTTATCTAAGATTTGTTTAATTTTATCAACGCATTAAATAAACAAAATATATTTTTGTCTTTTTCGTTAATTTGTTGAAACCTTACCTGTCGAATTGAAGCGAATTTTTTTGTTTTAAACTCTTCTAATAACTCTTAAATAGCGTGTTTTTTTTCCCTCGAATTTCTCCCGTTTTTTTCTTTTGATAGTTGTCCTTTGAAATGATTATCGTTAATGATTGCAAGTTAATGATGAACTATTTTCAAAATCTTATTTATCTTCATCAAGAAGATTTTGTCGTTGCTATCCATCTAGGGAACCATTCTTTTGTAACTTTTACGATCTTGAATTTATTGGAAACCTTGATCTAGTCTGCGATTTAAAACAGTTTTAAAACGACATTAATTTCAAAGACTAATTATGTGTATTTTCCAGTCTGTAACAATAATCTTTAATTTTTTTTTAATTACTGTTCTGTCTTCTTTTTTGCCATTTTCATTTGTTTATTCTTTTAAAAACTTTGCACAAGCTTACATTTAAACGCCCAATCTTTGCATTCACCGCCCCTGTCATGATATTTTAATTCAAAAACAAGATCTTTTATTTGTAGAAAATAGTTAACGGTTGGCATAACGACGACGCTGCATGGGAAGCATTTTTAAATCAAAGTGAAGCTAAAAAGAAAGCAAAAACGTCAGAAATTCCAACAATGGTGTCTGATCAAATTGTAAGTCGATAATTTTTCATCAATATTTTGATCTTTCAATTCGTTAATTAAAAAAAACTTTTAGTTAAAATTAAGCATCTATAATTTAAAATCTGTATTAAAAAAACTTGGAGGATTAAAATTTACTCTTTAAGTCGTTAAAAAAAAGGTTTTTAAATTACACACACACACATACACACACACACACACACACGCACACACACATAATATAAATATATAAGTTGTATAAAATAGTGTTAAAATAATTTTTATGTTATATTTATCAGGAGTACAGAGATGAGGCAGATGGAGATGAAGATGAAGGTAATAGAGATTTTGTTAAATCTACGCCAGATGGTCCTCCACCTCTCATTAATGGATATTTGAAAGAGCAGGTAATAAACCCTAAAATTGAAAGAAATGGTTCTTTCTATAAATCTGAGTTAAACATTGAGAAAAAAATGCTTCGAGATATTGATTCCAACTCTAGCACTGGTAGTCATCATAGTGAATTAAATACAGGTAATCAACTAAACGAATCTGTTGCGTATAGCTCAGATGAAAATTCTTCACTTGGTGAAAAAGACGGCAATAAAAAATTAAGCCATCGGTATTTTCTTCCATCAGACGAATTAGAAAAACTTCGAAAACGAGAGCGAGACGCAAAGAGAAAACAACGTGAAAAGCAGAGACTTGCAAAAGGAAGAGAAGATCAAAATGGGGTAAGTTAAGTCTATCATAAAACCACATCAAACCACATCAATCATAAACTTCAATTTTTTCAGGAGAGAGAAAAAATATCGTAGTTCTTCAAAATTTGCAAATATTTGAACTTTTTTTTCCTCTGTCAACAGTGAAGAAAAAAAATTTGCAAATTTTGAGGAGTTATGAAATTATTCTTCTCTCCTGAAAAGTTAGAAGTTTATGAGTTTGTGGTTGAAGTGGTTTCTTCACTCATCGATTTAACTGTTAAATGTATTTATGAATGATTCTTTTTTTTTTTAGAGTTTAGATTGTATCAATCCTGCTTCAAACGACTCTAAACACGAAGAAAAGATAGAGTTAAAAGAAAACAATTGTAATGGCACCCAATCTCCCAGTTATAAGCTAAGTCCTCATTCTTCCCCCGAAGAGAAGTACACTTCTCCAAACGAAAATGGTTTTGTAGCCCCTTTTCGAACTCGTATTTCTTCACCAGACGGACATCGATTATCAAGTTCATTTTACCCTTTACGCGATAATTATCATATTTCAACTTCTCGACATTTCATTAGCAGAAATTATTCGGATGCTCAATACAGTTATCATAACGAAGACCACACAACTCAAGACGACTCAAGGCTCTACCATTCCACGCACTATGGAACATTGAACTCACCAGAAAAATATCATAATGATGAAAAAAATGCATTGGAAGCTACTGCTGAAAAGAAAAGAATGATCAGTAGGAATGTTGATAGAAAGAAGCTTTCTGAAGAAGAACTAGAAGATTTAAGAAGGAGAGAGCGCGATTATCAAAGAGAGAGACGTGCAAGAATAAGAATGGAAAAGGTATTGCAATTAACAAAGAGGAAAAAATCTATAAAGTATTTGTTTTTATGTTTCTATAAAATTTTTTTTTTTTTTTGTTCTTAGGCCAAGTCCCAGGTAAATCATGATGCATATGATAATAAAAACTCTCTTGCTCAATACTATCTTTCTCCTCGTTTCTATCATTCTCATTCAACAAATACATCTGATGAAACTTTGCATCAAGCAAATGCTCGGAAAGATAAATCATATTCAGGGAGTACAAAAAATGAAAATATACATGAAGTTATCGAAGACGCCAATAAAAGTTTTGATGAGCGATACATTCGAACTCATTCCCCCTTTGATTGTCATTTGAACGGCTATGATAAGCACTTCAAAGAAAATCAAATGAGTGACAGACGCTTTGATGAAAACCGCTTAAATGGTAACATATTGGCTGCTGAACTTTCTGCTGAACACATCAAGAAGAAAAACGATACTAATGGTGAAGCGGGATTGTTACAGGTTGTTCCAAAAGCACGTGATAATGAATTTATTAAAAGAAACGATTCACATGCATATAAGCTGCCTCCAAATATTAATGGAACAAATTTTATGAGTAATGCAAAGAAAAGTCTTTTGGAAGATATATGCTCTACCTTAAATAAAGAATCATTTAAACAACTTCAGAACAACGAGGATGATGATCGACTGATCATAGTTCAGCCAAATATTGAAAGCTCTTCTCCGTTCATTGATTTTCACGAACAGTTTGCTAAAGAAGTGAAACGTGAAGTGTTAAACGAAAGTTTCAGAAACTCACCTCCTCACGATATAAGTGCTGTTGTGGATCAGTTAGAAAGACGAAGAAGATCTAACCGAGAAGCTCAAAGGCGAAGAAGAGCCCGTTTAAAGATGCAGGGAATTCCCGATGAGCAAAATCAATCTCCTCCGCAAAAAGATAAACAATTAGATTCCACTGACATCCGAGGATGTCGCGTTAAAATAACTCCAAGAGTAGACTGGCATGAACAATCTGGTTACTCTTTAAAACAAGAATACAGGTATGAAACGCTACCTCATTACAATCACGACATACGCCACGATTATCATTTTCATTATCCAACACACAATGCGCATCGACATCAATATTATCATGAGCCGGCGTATATTTCCGATGAATATTCACGTAATAGAATTTGCTACGAAAACAACGTTAAATGTTTAAAAGACAAAATGATAAGCAGGTTTCTTACCAGCAGAGATCATATAGGTATGTTTTAATAATTTACGCATATTAACTTAAACGGAAGGATTAGGGGGGGAGGTTGTTTAATGACGCAATTTTAGGAGGCGTGTATTTAATTCTTTAAAAATAATTTGACGGCGTGAGTTTATTTGAATATTAATTATTTCATTTCAATAGCGTATTATTTACAATAACTTTCTGTTTCAGAAGCTCCTCGTTCACCTCCAAGAATAAAAAAAGATACTCCGCCCTCGCCTCTCAGAATAAAAAAAGAAGAGATCGAATCTTTAGGAAAAAATAGCCGGAAAAGAAAACAAATTGTACCTAGGAAAGTTATTTTATCATCTGACAATTCAACTGAAGAAGACATTGATATTTGTTCTGTAGATAATAGTTCATCGAATTTCTAACAAAATTAATTTTCATTTTGTAAATTTTTGCTAATAGTAGTTTTATTTTTGGTGCGTGTTATTATTTTTTTATATGTTCAAACTTTTTATATGTTCAAACTTAAGACAAAAAGAAACTATATAACTAGGAGTAAAAGAAAACAATGTTCTGGTCACAAATAAAGTGTTCATTTGTGTGACCAAAATTTATTGTTGTTTTTTGAGCAAAGCTCACTAGTAAATCTTTTTCATTTTTGTTTTAGCTCTTGTTTGACCTTACAATCCCATATTACTCCAATTCCATGTTGTAATCATGCAAACCTTTAATCTATAATTAGATGATAAACAAAATAAGATATAGTCATACCGTTCACTATTATTTAATAAGCCGAAAAACAAATCGAATATATTTTATACAGTTTATGTTTGGGTTGGTTGGAATAGTTTGAAAAGCGTGTACGCTATAAAAAGATGCTATTTAAATGCAGTTAAATTTTGAATAAATACAAATAGTTCTTGCTTAGTAGACTTTCAGGTGGTAAACGAATCATTATTTATTATTAGTAGTGAGATAACTAATATCTAATAATTTATCGAACTGAATCAAACGAATAATTTTGTTTGAGTATGCATGTAAGCAGTGCCGGATCAAGGTGGGGCTATAGCCCGGGACCCCGCAAATTTAGGGGCTCCAAAAAATTTTAGAGGAATTAACGAAAAGAAATTTTATGAAAACTTTTCCCTTTTTTACACTGCAATATAATTTTTCCATTTGTACGCTGCAATACCGCAATTTAATCTCACAATACCCAAAAAAATTCTCTATAGATGTCTTTTTGCAATGATCTTTTATGGATGTCAATAAAAATTCTCAATGGATGTCTTTTTGTGTTTGATTTTAAAAAGTATGAAATAAATGAAAAGTATTATATAAAATATGCAATAAATAAAAAGTGTTTTGAAAGGTACGTGAATAATAGTATTTTGGAATTGAATTCATAAAAATATACTTTACATATTTTTTCAGCTTATAGATTTTTTTACGATACATGCAAGAGAAAAGGGACATTTTTTTGATAACTTTTAGGCAAATATTAAACTTTGTATATTTATACGGTTCTTAATTGAGAATTAATTAAGATTTAATATAATTTTTTTTCTAGAAAAATTATTGCAGTTAGACGTTGGCAACAAAAACAACCCAAAAATTTGTTACAATCCTAGATCCCAAATGTAATAGGATTACAATATTTTTAAAAATGTTTTGTGTATTCTTAAATTAAATTAAAATTTATCAATAGTGTTAAAGTTTTATCAAAATATATTTGTTGTGTGGGCTTACTGATAAGATCACTATTGTAATCTAACCAAATAGTATACCTAATATTTTAAAAGGGATGTTGTTTATTCTACTGACCTATGTATATTGTTTATTCTACTGACCTATGTAAATTGTTTATTCTACTGACCTATGTATATCAGTAAATTGAGTCCTTTTTGAAAATTTTTGAAATTTTTTTTTTCTTATTTGTTGGTATTGACAGAAATCTTTAAAGATTGTCGTGAAGGCGTTAGACAAATCAGCAATTTTCAAATAAGGTACTAGAAGAACATTATAAAATTTAATGGACTCTAAATCCACGCTCAAAAAAATAAAGATTTTTATTAACAATTTAATCATTAAATGAAAAATGTTTAAAAAATTTTTAGGAGTCTATATCGATGAAAATCTTGGAGAAATGAGATTGATAGTACATCTTTAAAAGTTGCTCAATCTATTTATATTATATATAGAGCTAGAAACATATGAGGAGAAGGAGGGGGTTCACACTCACAAAACAAACCTTAAATAACCTCTTTATTATCATCAGAAACACGCAGCTTGCGCAATAAATTTTAAAAACCGTTTTTAAGTACTTTAAACCACTTCTTATGGAAATAAAAGCCTTAAATATTTACCAACTGAACATATCTAACATTTTATGCTTTATGTTTAAATATAAAGAAAGTTTATCTTATTGTGTATTCCAAAATCTTTGAATAATAAAACCTAAAAATAAATATGATTTACATACTGATAACTATTTTAATTTTTTATCGAAATAAGTATGATCAGTTTTGTATTTCTTATCGTGGTTATTTTAAGTTTTAGTTTCCCCAAATGAAGTTGAAATGAATGTTGAAAAATAACTATTTTTTCGCTAGAAAACATCTTTATTTTTAATGATTTTATTTCTTTAATTTTATTTTAAACTTTTTAAATAAAATTGTAAAATTATGTTATTTAATTATTGCTTAAAATTATAAATTGTATAATGTGTAAAATTTGTAGTTTTTGTGCGAAGATTTCTATTAAGAAGATCGTAGTTGAATTTAGTCACTGTATGTAATGCTGTACACTCATTATATATGAATGTACAGCATTGTTTATACTTATATTTATACTTACGTATTTGAAAGATGTAGCTATGTAGATTATTAACCTCTCATTTTAGGCGGTTTGCAAACTTTAGATTGTTGTATCTAGCAAACACTAAAACCTTTGTAAGTAAAATTTGAAATCTGTCAATTAATAAAAATTTGGTTTAAAATAGTAACAGTATACTACTAAAAAACTTTTTACAACTTTCATTGCCATGCCCCTTCGATCCACATTTGAGGTTGGAATGCATAAGTTTTAGACTCATTGTTTCAATTGTTGCATTTTTTTCCACGACATTTGATAAAGCACAAACGTAACTTGTTCTAAGAGTTATCTATCTCAAACACCTAAAAAAAGCTCAATTGTGGAGCAATGTGGTTTTAAAGAATTTTTTTTTTCTAAGTGTGTTATCTTTTAATGCATCGATTATTGATCTTAGAGATGTTTACATTAGTTATGTTTTTCATGATTATAAAAGTTTAGTTTAATTTTCTCTATTTCTTCTTTTCTCTGATGATGGTAACTATAATTTGATTAATCTCTCCTCAAAAAACTTCTGGGTAAAGGAATCCATTTTTTTTTTTTTTGTTGAATACTTTTTATCTGTTGGATTTTACCAACATCCAAAGATTCTTTTTGGTGCAAACAGATTTAAAATCCCATTTGACACATAAGGCCCCCCCCTCCCTAGTTCTTTTTCTAGTTCTGTTTTAGATATTTGTTTTAATTCAGTTTAAGCATATATTTATGTAAATAACTAAATATTTGATCATTACTAATACTCTATTGCTCTTAATAACCAAATAATTGATATGATATAACTTAATCTTTTATCACATAAATTCTTCCCCAGTCCATTTATTGTTTTGCTGTAATTTTTTTTTTTAAATAAAATTGTCAAAAATAGTAGATTAACAATACTAAAACTGAAAAATTTTTAAAAGCATTGTTATATATTTGGCACATTTTTGTGCAAAAAGTATAACAAAAACCAACTTGCGTTTTAAATATTGTAATCTAATTACATTACAATATTTAAAACGCAAGTTGGTTTTAGCGAGTGTAGTAAATCAACTATGATTTTATGTACACTCGCTACCAGCGCCCTAAGTGAACGCTTTTTTTTTTAACGCTTTACGAAATTTGTATGAACCAAGTCAGCAGAGTGTTATCAAATAATCATGATTTTATACGAAAACTTTAATTTTTTTAAATTAATTTATTTAAAGCAATGCTAAAGTATCTTATCAACTCTCGTATTAGGAAAATAAAGGTCGATAATAAATTCCCGAACTCAAAATTACCATAAAACATTACCATAAAACAAAGAAAACGAGGTAGGCGATTTTTTGCCGACCCTAATTCCGAGGGATCTAATTATAAGTATTAACTTTTTTTTAATCTTTTTTTGTTAATTTTTTAACCTTGATTTTTTAGAGAAATCAAGTAATTTTGCATTTTGCACAGTATTACATCATGTGGTCTTAATTATGCTTAAAATGATGCTCTTAATTATACTTAAAATAAGCGTAGTACTCTTTGTTTTAAAATTTGCATGCGTGTAGGCACGCCAAAAGCTTTTGTGGTGCCCGGGTTCAAAAGTTTAATGTATGCGCTCTAATACTTCGACAGAAGTTTTCAAAATAAAATACAAATATAACGTAAAATAAAAAAAATAAAAAATTTCACTCAGTAAGGAAAAAAGTAATGAAAACGACAAACTCAAAAGAAATAATACATTGAATCAGTTAATGGACTTTATTACTCTTTTAGAAGGTGTAATGATTTTAAGTTTTTTTGCTAGTGTCTCAACTGCTTTAATCCGTGAGCTCCATTGCTTGACAAAGAGTTTATGTAATAGCAACCCTGTCTCCTCCTAAAAAACATTCCAACAATATGAACTGCAGCAAACAGATTGTACTGTATTTTTTATATGTGTTTATTTTACAATTACAAAGTATCTTCAACCATATTTATATTTTTATATCTTTACGATATTTATATTTTAATATTTATTTATACTTTTATATCTTTACAACCAATCGCAGATTGGCAGTAAAGATATAAAAATATAAATATCATAAAACATAAAGTTCAAGATATACGAAGTATATTTTGAACTTTATGTTTTATGATATTCATAAAAATATAGTTACATATTTAATCGGGGTTGTATGCAACTATATTTTAATGATATTTATTCATAAAAATATAGTTGCATATAACAACTCCGAGACATGAAAACTTATAACTCTGAGACATAAAAAAATATATATATAAAATACAACAATATAATAACGTGAACATAAAAAATAATCCGGAAATATATCTCTATATTCTTCCAATTAAAATAAAAAATACAATAAATAATAATGAATCTGCTAATTTTTTGGAGGTGTGTTTAAGATGTTTCACTATATGTTTATTTACCACATTTCAAAATAATGTTTGTGTATAAATGTGATAAAAACGAAATTTGTATAAAATTGTTAAAAAACAATTATTTGTTTATAGCTTTATTTTTCAGAGAGTGTTCGTTGATTAAATTTATTAGTGGTCCGTTTCTGGAAATTATTTTGTTAAATAAATAGGGATCACGATATGTAATTGAGAATTTTGAGAGTCTTGTTGTTTAAAACGGTATCTTAAAG